TCGAGCGTTGCGGTGTATAGGTGTAATGTACACGATTTTAATTTTTTAAAATATTTGAATAAGATGCTCTACCTTTTTGACTACGACAGTTTAATAATTTGTCATTATCAATACTAATTATCATTAATGAAATAATATTCAGTCAGAGGGCTTATTTATGTTAATAAATTTATGTTAATTAAGCCTGAAGGTGGCGCTTTCATACGGCAGCCATCTTGGATAGTACACATACACAACTCAGCATTGCTCCGCCATCTTGTCAGCACTCTAGTTGTTTAATAGCTCTATGTCTAGAACACTCCAGTCACCATTTGCATATATCTGTTGATGGAGGTAGAATTTACAGTAGTTGTGTTTATGTAATTATTTCTTAAACACAGTCTTACTGAATTGTCAATCATCATTTTCAGCCTTCCGTTGACGAGTTAGCTGACCAGAGACGCAAGACCTAGATGATAATGATGATTATAAAGTTTCTGTCTTCTATACTTTTTATTTTCTTGGCAATACCGCCCTCATTTATTTCTTCAAACGCCAACAAACTTAAAAGCTAAAGAAATCGGATAGTGACTAAAACGATATCAAATAATTTGAAAAACTATATCATTGGAAGAAATGGAAAATTCACTATCAACATGATATCATATTAACAAAATATTCTGTTGTACACAATAATAATTAAATTATGCTAAGCATATATAAATGTTATAATACCCATGTTAATTCTGATAGTTCATCTTGTTCATTTTAAATACGAGAAAATTTGAAAGTCTTTAAAGGCAAAATAAAAAACCTTAAATTAAGGGCCTACATTAACAGTTTGTACACATTTTCCTACTTCCATACATTTTAGTGGCGTGTTTAGATTATTTATGAGAAGACGGAAATCTTCAACAACTTAGCGTACATGTGGAGCGCTACGTGCCGAGAGCATGGCCTAATTATCCAATTGAAATACGCGTTGAATAACGGCGTAAGAAGTTTTCTACGCGCACGTGTAGGCCCTACTGTCCAGTGGAACCTGTCAAATATTTAGCCTCGATTACGCATTTGACATACAAAGGAAATACTTAGTGACAAATGTAATACTAAGGTAGGGTAGTTATCCCGTTAAAACAACTGTAATGCAAATACGTATAATATTGTATAATCATTTGGTGTAGGATGTTTTGTGGTTTTTTTAGCATTGTGTACTGAAAATAATTGATGAGTAATATCAATTATGGAATTGGAATAGGCCTAAGTATGTAGGAGCAGCTTGTTGCATTCAGTAGTATTGGGCGAACCGGTCTGGAAGACTAACGTGATCAGGCTTCATATAGTGACTCACAGTTGTCGTGGGTGCGTGAACGTGGAATAGTAACGAATGCTTCAAACTGTCTTAAGTAAATGAAACATGATGAAGACTGGTATGATTGTAAAGGTGCTATGATAATCATAGTATGGATCGTATAATAATATGTTTTTTTCTCGGGTTTGCTACCAGTGTGGCGCTTCATTTCACGTCAGCCGTTCATTTCAATGTACAACCAGTGAATACTCTTGCAATGGTCGGAAAATCAGTTGTTCTACATTGTGCATTGGACGAAATGCTTTTGGTTGGAGAAACTCATCACTGGGTATGGACAAACCAAATAACAGGGAAGAATGTAACTTTGACTACAAATCGAAAAACAGAGGCTGGTCTTTCGCCAGAACTTTCACGAAGATTAAGTATATTTGGCAATAGAATGCATGCGGAATATAATCTTCGAATCGAGGCCGTTACTAAATCAGAACAGGGGATTTACAGATGTATGCTGCATATAAGTCAAACTCAAGAATATATTTATTCTAGGCCGGCTACGTTGACAGTTGAAAGTTTGTCCGATCGTGTTCCGGTATGTGATTCAACGCCGATTCACCCTGTACCTGGGTCCCAGGTTGTGATGACCTGTAGGGCTGGGAGCCTCTTCAGTACGGATGTCATGTGGATGTTGGGCAATGTTCGGTTAAGAACTACTTTAGTACGTCAAGAGAACCGTCTGACTGCGGTTTTAAGAAGAAACGTCTATGAACAAGATAATTTTGCAACTTTTAAATGTTTTGAAAGAAGTCGCAGTAGAGGCGCAGTAGTCAATGTTGGCGAGTGTTCTGTAACACCGTTAAGAGTTGAAACAATCGTTAAAATAACACCCAGTTTTGTATCTCTCAGCGAATATAAAGATACAATGTTAAAGTGTTTTGGAGAATCTTTGCCTGCAGTGACTTTCTATGAATGGCTAATAGACGAACTTATGGTCATTAACACTCCAAGTAAACTGTTGTTGAGCGACAGAAACCGACAACTCACTATAAAATCTGAATATTTACGAACATTAGATAAACCCCAGCTAGAAATTAGGTGTACTGCAGGAAACACTTTAATTTCGTCAACAGTAAACAGTGCGTCTATTCAATTAATCCTTCCTAAAAAGACATCTACAACACTAAAACCATTGACTACCATTAATAGTATCGGTAAGCCTGTTGAAACAACCCATCGGCTAAATGTGAAATTATCTACAGAAAAATATATCTCTAAATACTCAGATGAACATTTAATTACTACACTCACAACGGTCGCAATGCCTACATTGCAAAGTGAGAAACTTCCTCAAAAATTGATACAAGGTGTGGCGATAATATCAGCGTCTGTCCTTGGAATTATTATAGTTATTCTAGTTTGTAGTATTGTCCTCGTATTTGTCTTCAAAAAGAAGAAAAGATTATTAGAGATAAGTAACTACAACACAGTTGCTGAGCAACCATTAGCCTCAAAGAAAGCAAAACAATATGAAAATGAAATTGTCACACCGCGTATGAAATATTGTCATAAAGTTGGGTCTTGCCAAACATTACAACCACCACGGCTGCCGGACCGGGACCGTTACGTTTCAAAACAAAGGCGTCATATTAGTGAAAATTTCAATGCCAATGGAAAACTTCTAGGTGTGAATCCTCAGAGAAGAAGTGAGTATATTAGGAAGTCTTCTGGGGGATCACGAGGAGAAGGGGATGGAAGCAGTGGAGATGAAGCTCAGAAATGTATATCTCTTTATGAAAATGCAATAGCCATACGATTGTCTTATCTAAATGATTATAGCAAGCGGTTCAAGCGAGTTGCCTCCCAGCATAGCTATGATGATGTTGAACCACTTGCGATATACGACAACCCGTCCGATTCTATATACGAAGTGTCATGACTCATGGGACTTCTAACCACTCTTCTTAATGTGCCTAGCATAATGGACCTCATGAAAATGTTCGTTTCATTATTGTGTCATATAAAATATATCGTCAACAAACAATCATTCCATTCTACATCGAAGTGTTAGGTACTATTTGAGATGCAGTCTTTTGCCACTAAGCCAGTTTTCCATATAAGTCTCTATCCGCACTATCAAATTGCATGTGACACTTGGTCATGATGATGTCATATCCCACTCATATATGGACATGAAGATGTCATATACACCCATATATGGTCATGATGATGTCATATCCTACTCAATATGGACATGAAGATGTCATTATATGGTCATGATGATGTCATATCCCACTCAATATGGACATGAAGATGTCATATTACACCCATATATGGTCATGATGATGTCATATCCCACTCATATATGGATATGAAGATGTCATATTACACCCATATATGGTCATGGTTATGTTCTATCACATCTGTATATACCCGTTATAGGCAAATCACAGGTATTTGTCACATGAAATTTGATAGTGTGGACAGAGCTTTAAGGCCTGTTTACACTTCAACGATAACGATAACGATAAAAAAGCTAAAAAGCAATTGTTCATATAGAAAATAAAGAAATAAGAGAAGTTTTTACACTAGAACGTTTCGATAACGATTTATCAGTTATGCGATAACAACATATTTTGACAAATCAAATCAGATTACGTCATAATCATGGGAAAACGTTAAAATCGTCGTAGTAGCAACGATTTTATCGTTTGTCCATGATTATGACGTCATCTGATTTGATTTATTAAAATATTTTGTTATTGCATACACGATAAATCGTTATAGAATCGTCCTAGTGTAAAAACTTCTCTTATTTCTTTTGTTTTCTATATGAACAATCGCTTTTTAGCATTTTGATCGTTATCGTTATCGTTGAAGTGTAAGCAGGCCTTTATGCCCGTTGCCACCGAACGTTTTGTCCATTTCCGTCCTACCGACCTCTTGCGACGAATCTTTCCACTCTCTCCATTGCCAGCAACATACAATAACAGCTACGGTACCATATTGTTGTTAAGTGAATGTAGTTAAGCCCAACCTTGTAATTCCTTGCCCCGAAACCTAGACTCAGAAATACCGGGTTGGTATCCACAGTTAAAGACTTTATGTAAGGCGCCAAGAGGAATATTTCTATTACTATCACTTTGATTTATTAACTGATTAAAGACTACTATCTGTAGTATGACGCTATTGATAATAGAGTTATACTTAACCAAAGCTAATATAATGCCCTTTAGTCATTGGTTAAATAGTGTTTTCGGCAAAACGATTACAAGAAACTTGTCGTGTGAGATTTAACCTCCTTAATCCAGCATGATATGGCTATTTTAAATAGGTCCCTGATTTACTTCCCTAAAAATCCATATTTATTTATTTCTTTATTTCAACCGTAATAAGTGAATATATTTTAAAATAAAAAAATATCTATTCACTTTGATTTACCAACTGATTAAAGACTACTATCTTTAGTATGACGCTATTGATAATATAGTTATACATAACCAAAGCTAATATAATGCTCTTTAGTCATTGGTTAAAAAGTGTTAAAGGCAAAACGATTACAAGAAACTTGTGAGATTTAACCACCTTAATCCAGCATGATATGGCTATTTTAAATAGGTCCCTGATTTACTTCCCTAAAAATGTTAAAGTGAATAAGAATATATATACAAAAAAAAAAAAAAAACAATTGAAAATAAGATTGTACTAAACAATTATATATAAATTTTAGTATTGTATAATATTTTAAACATGAATATAATTAATATGTAATCATGTGCTTTAAAAAAAAAACAACAACCAATGAAAAGAAACTGTTACTTTAAAATATTTTTAAAAATGCAGAAAGAATACACTGCAAAACACATCAATTATTATTATTTTTGTTGATTGTTATCATAATCATACTCACCATCCGCTTCCTTATCAATTTCATTCTCATTAATATTATAATCAGGCTAAAAATAAATGATTGCTGTTACAATGTGAACAAAAAACCTCCTATGTAATTGCATTTATTACTCAAAATTCACATAGGCTTTATTATAGACCTGCAGAATGTGGCAAAGCGGCAAGAGACAAAGGAGGACCTAGGGCGGCAAGGAGCTTGGTTGCCCTGCGTAACATCCATTCCTTATTCAGCAACGTGATATTGGTGGTAACGGGTCGGGTAGCAACAGGCATTTAATATGATGTCACGATTCCCACGATTTTGTAAACAATAATAGTATTAATAATGTTAATAATATACTACTGTCTGGCATGTGCTTTACGTCTTGCAATGTAAATAAATTGAGGTTCAAAATAATATTCTACCACAGTGTAATAAATTATTGTTCAATAATGGATATTACTTAACTATTGTTGCCACGATTTATTGTGACATATGTTTGTGTCAAACTAATGTTTAAATTACATTTATCTTTCAAATGAATTTTATAAGCAATATATTCAAACTTAACCTAAGCGTCTTTCTCTAAATATTCCACTGGGATCAATCGTAGAAGTTGAGAGTCTGCCTTCGTTGATCTCTATACAATTCCCTCTAAGGACCATTAAAAGTGAAACACGCTCGAATGATCTCCAAGGCAATGTATTGATGTGTTTACATCATACATTCATTTAGGCCTAGACGTAAATTTACATTTCTTGTATATCTAATGTAATTTTTAAATAAGACAATTACTTATTCGCTGGCGAATATTTGCATTATGTAATGTTGTTCTGTACATAAATTTCGAAAGTTGTACATACTTATTTTGAAAAACACAGTATGTCATTGATGTTTATTTTAATTTCAACCTTGTCTAGATGTGTATAAGAGACAGTATATATAGTTCAACTAACTTGCAACTAGACAGGGTAATAAATAAGAGTGGGCTGTTAAACTCCATATCCTTCCGCCTTGACGTGTTCAATTATATTTAACTAGTAACTTGTGTACAGTTTGTACTTTCTGCGGATGTCATGTACTTTGACAGTTCTTCAAAGTTGGTATAGCGTCTTCACATTTTTCTCATAATCATATAGAAGCTCGTTTCTATAATTATATTCATGTCATGGCTCAAACCAATGTAAAGATGTATGCAAACATGACATATTTCCTAAACGTTGCATTGGCAAACACTTGAACTAGTTAAATATTTTTACAAAGTACTATTTTACTGAAGATTCTTTTTGTGGTTTCATCTATATTCCGTGTTAAAATAATAAACCAGGATCACAATTCTAAATAAGCTACCTACTTGGGTGCGTTATACAAAATAAATATTTAAATTAAAATGGTGTAGGCCTATTAAGCGAATATTTCTTGAATTGTCTTTGTATTTATATAACCTGTTAGGTCCACTTGTTTTAGTTTTCATTGCCTTTATTTCAGCTACTTAATGCATGATGATATACAAGCCATAATAATAACGTTGAATAAAACTATAAATATTACAAGTCTACAGTATTTAGTTTTTATATTTTTGTTTGTTCAGTAATTGAGATAAAAACACACACATACAAGCATAGTAAAATTGGATAAAAACCATAAAATACAATAAATTAAAATGCCTGCATAAAAATCATTGTACAAAATACAAATTGCCCCTCCCCCACAAAAAATAAGGGAAACATACTCCAGGTAGTGGTATATTGAAGAGGCTTGAGGCACTGTATAGCTAAGGCTTCTTCAGGTACTCTAAGGCCCTCTGTACCAGATAAACCCCCGTTTTACTCCGGCGTTTTTGACGTTGTGAGGGCTTACTTTAAGCTTTTTTCCAAATTCTCCTAGAGGCCTTCTTCAGCCTAGCAAAAAATAACCCTGGGTACGTTAATATTTTGATCACTTGGCTTAAGCCAGTGAGAGTTTATAGGTGTTGCGCTATTAATTCCAGGTTTGCGAAGATAGATACTGACACCAGGTGGGCGTGATGCTGTCCAACCTTGAAAGAGGAAAATATGACAAAATCTCAAAAACATTAGCCTTAATACAATCATGAAAAACAAAAATGAAAGAAGAGAAGAAAAAGAACAGACAAAAAAAATACTCATATTAAAAAAAATATTAATTTAATTAATTTATTAACATAACTGAAATCACCGAATAAAAAACAATTCAAAGATCATGACAAAGTTATGGACAGCCGAAACGTTTTATGCTAATTTGTCATTATGTGGTTTGGCATCCTAATCAATTTGTTAGGTTAATTAGTGCTTGATTTCCATAGACAAGATAAATTAACTGCTTTAAAAAATGTTGAATCATATGTTGTTTTGTCATGCCTTTGCAAAAATAGCAAATACAGTACCGTACTTGTTGCAACTTAAGTGTGTACATTATTTTATCGGTTATAGTTTATCTACCTTTAAAGTTCTAGCAAATTTATATACATACTATTATTAGCAATATATAAAATAATTATAACAATGATGAAAATAATTATAATTACAGAGAAATTGTAAAATTATTTCAACAAATAAGATTGTTCGTAATTTATTTAATATAATTTAACATCATTCCTATTAAATCTCTTGATGCAAACAGCATCAGAATAAGAATATTAACAAAGTTAAATCATATCTATTATAATAGCGAATGGATTAATATTCTTGACGCTGTTGTTTATTTCATTACATTTATTCTGTCTGAACACAATGACAAAAAGTTACAAAGTTTTTAAACAGGCTAGACAAGATCGCCAAAAGTATTCTTAAGTCACGTTATAGATTATATAGAAACAGAAACATGACCTATATTATGTAAGTAGAAAAAAAAAATACATTGTAGAAACGAATTTGTTCATGACATGCCTTTTTCATTTTATTTTATTTATTTGGTCCAGAGTCAAGTAAAAATATCATTAATAT